AGGGCAGGGGAAGGGGAAAAAAAAATAAGAACCAAGATACTCATGTAATGGTACAAGATCCCAATGATGAATGTAACTATATTTTATACCTAAAAAGTACCAATAAACTTAATGGGGAAAAAAAAAAAAGAATTCGATCCCTGGTACCAAAAACAACAAAATGAAATAGTCAGCAGGCCTGGGATTTAGCTCAGTGGTGCTGCACCTGCCTCACAAGCACAAGGTCTTGAGATCAATCCCTGGTACCACAAAAAAATAAAACAAGTCAACAACATGAAAATGTACACACTATTTCAAGACTATGGTAGATAAAAATGACCCGTATTGGGGATATTGTCCACAAGTCTTCATTTTATCTGCTTTTGATCAATCCTGGAACATACTGTCTAATCAAAGACCTGGCTGGTCTGTTAACCTGGAGAACAACCCAGCCTCACTAGAATAAGCTTGCCACCAGAAGGAAAAGAGCTGTCTCTCATGCAGCACATGGCCATTTTGTGCAGCGCACACTTCATTTGAAATACCCACCTGCATCTTCTACCAGGAAATGTTGCAGTCCACCAGTGTTGGGAAACTGGCCAAACTTTTCCCTTTGCTGAGGCTAATCTAAGCCCTATCCCAAGACCATCCTGTCCCAAGTAAGCACCTGCTAGCAAAGAGGTATGGTAGGCACTTGACACTCACGAAACCTTGCCAGTGGAGTCAGGGAAGAGACAAACTTCAGTAATCACTGACCTATGCTCTCCTCTTATCTACCTCCAGTAGGAAATAGGGGCTTTCATCCTAGCAGCTTTCCAGACTAACACATGTCAGCCATTCATCAATGTCCAAAACAGTGTCAGGCCATTCAGAAAGACTTATGGGTTCTCTGGCATCAAAGATCCAGTTAGGAGAATCAGTCCTGGGGAGAGATCCACCCTCAATGTACATCAAGACACACCTCATTCTTACCTTAATAACTTATTCAACCCCTAAGATTGAATACCTTGTAACCCTGTCATGTATCTGGGGCCTCGAGCCCTACATCAGGATTTAAGATAAGGAACTTAAATACATGGTACAGGAAGTCCTGCTCTTGCACTGACACCATTATCATCTCCAAACTTGGTTCAATGTTAGAATGGATGTGGGTTGGAGAAGTATTTGTGGGAACAGGTAGTCCACCTCAGATAAACCCTGGAGACATGCTTCTAGACACACAAGCAAAATCCAGCAGACCTTGGCTGGCACAAGTGGCCTGGAGAGAGTGGCATGGTACCTTTAAGCCCAAACTACCATGTGTTCACCCACAATAGGGGGTTTTCAGGACTCTGTCTTTGCTTATTTCCTGAAACTATTACTTATCTGTCTACATAGCCTGCTCATATTTGCCTCTGTTTCTGCCTCTGATCTTCCTCTCACCCTTGATACCCAATATCGGCTTATCCTCCTGTGCAATATAAGGACCTTATTGGTTTCCAGATCAAGTAACAACTTGATCCAGTTGACTTCTGTAGCCCCATCCCGGAGGGAGCAGTACTGGCATCTGTCCCATCTTTGCTCCAGCTCTTCATAGAAGGGATTCGAATTCATTCTAGTATATGCTTTTCAGTCTTATTCTGTAGCAGTTCCTTCTAGCTAGCACATTTCTGTCTGACTTGCATTTAGTCAAAATTTTTTATCTTGTACATTTGGTACAGGAAGCATTTGTGTGTTTGTTTTAGTGAAGTACTGTTTAACAGTATGCATTAGATTGCCAACAAATTACAAAGTTGAGATGAATAAGCTCTTTTACCTCTCCTCTGATGGGGTCTGGGCTTCTGACAACAGCTGACTCCGCGACTGAAGGGTGTTCATTAAGGGCACTTTCTACCTCAAATGGACCAATTCTGTAACTGGGAAGACACAGCAGGAATTTATAAGGGTGAGTTAGATATTCACTCGAGAATTCTGATGGTCAGTTAGCACAGACATATGTACAGATGAAGAAGAAAATTACCCAGAGGATAATATAATATCATCGGATCTTGCAACAAACCAGAAATATCCGTCTTCATCCATATACGCTCTGTCCCCAGTGATGTAGAAACTGCCTCGTAGAGTTGAAGTTGTTTTTGAAGGATTATCCTGCCAAAACAAAGAGCATTTGTTAATATTATTTTTTCTTTTTTTTGGTACCAGGGATTGAACTCGGGACCTTGTGCCTGCAAGGCAGGTGCCAGAACCACTGAGCTAAATCCCCAGCCCCTGTTAATATTATTTTGAATGTGACTCTGGTTCAGTTGGATGCCTAAATGTTCCAAGAAAAAGAACGTGTGGCTCCTTTGAGAAGTCTTAGAATGAAAAGGAGCCAGAGTGTGAAATAGGGATGAAATTTCAGCATGGATCTAGCCTAAGATAAGAAAGGTAAACTGCAGTTACAAAGACTAGCCACCCTCTTCTTGAGAATTTTCTTAGATTATAAAATAAATGTTGCAAGAGCTCAGAGCTCAGCGGCATATGCTAACTCAAGTCTTTTGCTAGTTGATTAATATTAGTAGGAAGAGAGATAAGTGAATATTCAGTTAAAAGAAGGCACTGACCCCTAATAATTCAAAGAGAAGACAAGTTTTGTTGTTTGTGTCATTTTACATAATGACAAAACTGGTTCTGTAATTTTGGCATAAGAAGAAAAATGAATTGTCACATGTCAAGTTGACTGGCAAGTAGAACTTGGACCTGGACCCTATTATATTACCATAAACTTTGCTCTAATTTGTATACCATGGTGGGAGATGAAATATACTTACAAACCAGAGCTCAAACTCCTCTAGTTGAAGGGATTTACTTAATTCCACTGTACCATTCCCTATTCTTCCTGCTGCTCTTAAGAAGGGAGAACACCAATCAAAAGTCAGGACAATGAATGAGTCCTAGGTGATAGGTAAAGGATCGGTGGATATTAAGAGCACATAGGTCTTTCTGGGACTCCTTTCCTCTTGCAATGGTGGTGATGTAGCCTAGGGAGGACTGATGTGCTTTTAAGCAGTCATTTGGGTGCTTCTTCAGTTCTCTGTCTGTGGAATTACTATTCGGGACAATTAATTTCTCAAAAGGGCCAAAGGTGTGTTTGGGGACAAAGGGACAGTAATCAAGCACTTTTGAGAAATAAATAGAAAATAAGAAGTTTTAACAATAAATTTCTTACTACATAATGAGTAAAAAAGCCAAGTGGTCTATTAGGTAGAACTTGAATGCCAATATCTCCTTCTTGTCCAGGAGGTAGAACATTGCCATTTTCATCTAAAATCTAGGATAAAATAGAACACTTTAACAAAATTTTTATTTAATTCCACACCTTAAATTTCAACTTTACATGTTCTTTTTATTTTACCATTGAAGGATGCAGACTCCAAATATATTTTAAGTGTACTTGAAATTCCTAAGAAAAAATATTTATTTAAATTCTTGTTGCATAAAATATTATCAAATGCAGATTAGCAAAATGTGAAAAAAGAATAAAAATTTTCTTAAATGCTATCTTCCAGTAACAAGCATATTTTGGTAATATCCTTTGAGATACCATAGGCATAGAAAACAATAGGATTACTTTATAATATATATTTTCACAAACTGCTTTTATCACTTAGCAATATATCTCATTAAAAACACAGTTTTGCCTGGCATGGTGGTGAACATCTGTAATCGGAAGGCTGAGGCAGGAGGATTACTGCAAGGCCAGCCTGGGTTAAATAGTGAGTTCAAGGGCAGTTTGAACTATATAGTTGAGACCTTGTCTCAAAAAAAAACACAAAAAACCCATATATTTCAATATTCCACACCAAATCTATTAAATCAGACTCTCCATGGAAGGGTCCTGAGAATTAGTATTTTAAACAAGTAACCATGTGATTCTTATGATCAGATGAACTTGGGATGCATTGATCTAGTAGTCTACAAATAATTTACATTTGGATCTGAGCTCTCTGCTCTAGAAATTCATCCATTTTGCCTTTTGGTCACTGTTGCTTTCTCTTTAGTATAGCATAAGTTCCTTTGGCTATCCATTACTTTGAAACTGGGTTGATTTAAGACTAATTCTAACCCTGAAGAGAGTGTGCAGATGTGGAAATAGAATGCTCTGCAGCATCAAGGGGCAGTAATAGCCATGGTTACCGAAAGCCTGAAAGTGGCCAGGCAGGCAGAGAGAGAGTGCTGCAACCACTGTGAATTTGTGCCTCTTTTGGCCTAGTTGATTCCCTCTGGAGGTCCTTATTCCCCTCACAAGAATGGGGTGGCACCATGGGTGAGAGTATAGGTATTGGATTCAGATTGCTTGATGTATTCCTTTTTAGCAGCTATTAGCTGTGTGACCTTGGGTGAGTTCCTTTACCTTTCTGTACCATCATCTGTAAAATAGTTCTAATGTTAACATGTCTTTAGGTTCCTTCTGGGAATTAAATGGATTAATATCTATAAAATCCTTAACCAAATGTAAAATATAGGTTTTTGCAAAATAATGGGGACTATGAAGCTAACATTTCTAACCTCTTCATCTTCCCACAGAAATTAAGTTATCATTGGAATAACATGGAATCATCACCCAAACAAGGAATGTATATGGAGATAAGTAGGAAACAGATTGGATTGTTAAACATTCTCCTGACAGGAGATGAGCAAACCTTAACATTAAAAGCAGGAGAAGGTTTTCCCATTGAGCCAGGCTTAATTTTCATTCCCTTAAAATTTCCACAGATTAGCACCTAGTTAAGAAGGAGAAAAAGTTAGGTATTATAAATAAATAACTTAAAATTTATTCAGCTATCATGCATTCATTAAAAAATTATTTATTAAGAAATTATTATGAACCAGGCTCAAAATAAAACAATATCTCTACTGTCATGAAGTGTCGAGATTTACAAAACAAACATATATAAGAAAGTTATGAGACAATAAATTTATAATTACTAAAATATCCATATTTATTAAAACAGTTATGTCAATATTTGTACTCATAGTAACAAAATACTTACGCTGATTCTGTTTAAATAAGTTGTCAGTTTTTGTTTTTATGTATTTTTGTTATTTTAATTGTTGACAGGGTAATACGTTAATCATTATAAGTTGAAACACAGACTGAAGCATTATAAAAAGACACAATGCAAACAGTTTCTTTCAACCTTTCCCTTATCGGCTCCATCTTACCCCCTCCTTCTTCTATGAAATAACCACTTTTGTTCTTATCGTATTAATTTTCTTCAGAGCTCTTCTTATTCTTAACTCTGTGAGCTCCAGAACCCCTTTAAAATATGCTTGTGAGGGCTGGGGATGTAGCTCAGTGGTTCTGCTGCCTGCCTCCCAAGCGCAAGGTCCCAAGTTCAATCCCTGGTACCAAAAAAAAAAATTCCTGTGAAGGAGTAAACTCTTTGCCAAGTAGTTGTCCACCAGACTTGATATTTTGAGTAACAAGGAGCTCAGCCAGCGGTTTCCGCTTTGAGGCAGATCTTAGAAAGTTCCCTATCACTTGAGGGAGAAAGCCCTCTTTCAGTACATTCAATATGTTTTCATTAAAAAGAAAAAACTGTAAGCAGGTGTTGTGGCATATGCCTGTAATCCCAGCACCCTAGAAGCCTGACACAGGAAGACTGAGTTCAAGCCGAGCCCAGGTAATTTAGTGACTTAACAAGACCCTATCTCAAAGTAAAAAAGGAGTGGGAATGTAGTTTAGTGCAAAGGCCTTGGGTTCCAAAAAAAAAAGTGCTGGATAGATAGTTTGGTGTGAAGATTCTGGGTTCAGTACTGTCACAAAACAAACAGAAGAACTGTAAGCTCTCACCCTGATCAGTTAATAGCAGTTTTTCCTCAATAAATGGCTAAACAAAATAGTAGTAATGGAGGGGAGGTGTTTTGCCAAGAGCTTCCTTCAGGCTTTTACCGCTATTTTTAACTGTTTTCTAACCACATTACTCCTTCCCTTATCCCTAAGAGTCATACAAACTACTGATGCTTTGGTTTTACTCATCTGACTAAATTGAGTCCAGCCCTGTGAATCCCATGAGGTCAGGTACCGTTTCTGTCTGTCCATATCCTTCATAGATATCCAGGCTCGTGCTGTTTCTCCATTGTTCAATCACCTCAGGGTTGATTGGCTCCCCAGCACTCACACAGTGCTTTAAGCTTTTGAATTTCCAGGTTCTCAGGAAACAGGTTAGGTTCAGGAGGAAAATGTATACAGAAGTGGAAATAAAAGTTTATTTCTAACACAAAATTTTTAAAAATCACTCTAATGTTGTAAAATGACACAAAAACTACCAGTTTTTCTTTTTCCTTTTCTTTCTTTTTTTTGATATATGGGGGGTTACTTTGTTGCGAAGAAAAGCCATGTTGTCTTTAGGAAAGATACCCCATAATAACATCTTAAATCTGCAATTAAAAATTTCCTCACAGAGACTAGAAATATTGAATGTGCTCAGTAAGTAAAAATATTAAGTGTGCTAAGTACAGTAAAACTTTTTTTTTCTTTTCAGATTACCAGTTCACCCTTTCAAATGAAATCGGTAATAAAATTTAAATCATGCATCCTTTTTTCCATTTGCTCAGATAAGGTTCTAAGCAACTTTTCTCCTGTCTCAGCTCAGTAACAGCCATCATCCAAAAGATTAAATAATCACTGGCTTAGAGCTACAAACGTGTCTGAACTCTCTCTTTCCTCTTCTTGCCTGGGGGAGCCTGTCCTGGACACGGTAACCCTCACTTACAGCACAGCAGCAAGAAGAAAATGGAAGAAAAGGAAGAGAGGGCCAATTCTGCACCTACTAGTCAGGAGCTCTGCTTTTAGGCCCAAAGTTCTTTTACTTTCTGTCTTCCTCTTCCTCTCCCTTCCCATACTAAATGCCTATTTACCAATACTTCTTACCTTTCCATATCATTCTGTACAAGCATTCGGTACCCAGTTGGTGCTGAACAAAAGACTGTGATGGGAAACTTGGAGAGTGTCTGCAATTTAGAAAAGGCAGACTCTTGATCTTCCTACAACTTTAATAAGTGTTTAAACATCTGTAATAGGTACAGCAGAATATAAACATTGTTTATTTTAGTGTAACTGCACTCACAGTTTTTAAAATCTGTCTTTTCAGCCTTATTGACTTTCTGGATGTGAAATGTCTTAAATCATGTTATGTACTCAGATCTCTAAGTTTTTTAATCCAACAAGGTAATCAGTGACACCACTAATGTATTTCTAAATATGGACCTCCTGTGCTCTGCCTTACTTGTAAGACGGAAGTTGGTTCAAAATGGGGCAAATAATGCACAAATACACAGGATCCTTGGATCCATGGAGAAAAAACACTACTCCATGCAGTCTTTGCCCAGCCTGTGTCTGAAGTATTCCACATCACATCCAAAGGTGTCAAATCCAGCCAGTACCTGGGAAAACAAAGAAGAGCCCTGATGTATAAATATGTAAATTTGTAGGAACTTGACATGTGTAAATGTATGTATATATTTGTTAAATTTGTAGGAAAACAAATTTAAAAGGCCAATACACAATTCATTCTCTTTGTACTTTTGGCACTTGAAGGTACAGTTCTGTGGAAGTACCTTCCATTCACAGATAATCCTAAACCAAAACTGTGGGTGTGTCCAATCATCTTAGGCAGCCCAGTTGTTCCACTGGTAAAGAAAATGCCCATCATCTCATTGTGTTTAGTCTTCACACAGCTGTGGGTGTCACTGGCACATCTACAGAGGAAAAGCAACAATGACTACATATTAAACACAGCACCAGAGGCTATTAACACTAAAAAAGATTAGAGAAACCCCCAGTTGAACCTCTTTTTATAAATCAGGCTTCAGTGACTTGGACTGAATCCAAGTAAAAGCTACCTTTCTCCATTGTTTTTTGTGTATTTTCTAGAATATAAAGTTTGCTATCAAAAGCCCTTTTATAATAGCTGATTTCATAGCTTTTTGCTACATGTTAAAAAAGGATTGAAGCATTTAAAAAACAAGAATTGTGTCATACAGCAAAGTGAAGATTCTATGATCTTATAATCATGGATATATTAAGAACTTTCCCTTCCTCGCCATTGTAAATGCTTTAAAATGTGACTTTTTAAAAATTAGTATGTTAATACAAGTCATGGGGAATGGCTAGGATCTGTAAACTCTATCCAACAGGCCAAATCTGGCTTATCTCCCATCTTTGTAAATAAAGTTTTGTTTTATTTTGGATTTTGAGACAGGGTTTCACTATGTAGCCTAGGCTAGCCTAAACTCTCTATGTATCCCAGGTTAACCTCAAACTCACATTCCTCCTACTTCAGCCTTCTTAGTGCTGGGATTACAGATGTGTGCCACCATGCTTATAAATGAAGTTTTACTGGCACAGAGCCATGACCATTCATTGGTATATTATCTGTGGTAGCTTTCATACTACAGTGCAGTGTTGAGTAGTTCTAACGGAGATTTTATGGCCTGCACAGACTTAAATATTAAAGGCCTTGTGCCTTTTATAGAAAATGTTTGCCAGTTCCTGAAAGGATGGCTTTTTTTGTCTCTCATGAAATAGTCTACATAGTTCTGAATATAATACACAATATGACTGAAGAGAATATAAGCATCCATCAAGGGAAGGAGGACTCAGTAAAAGAAAACGAAAACCTTTTAGTTCTAGAGAATAATTGGGCTTCTAAATAAGCCACACATTGGGGCAGGTGAGAGAAAGTAAACTCTGCACACACATACACATCAGGTGTCTGAGAAGCATGCAGATTTATCTGAGAGGATCAGCTGAGACTGAATGAACAGAAACATCCAGATCATGATAAATATAGCCTAATAAAACTAGACCAAGTGTTGAGCCCACAATTCCACAATTATCTTCCTTAAAAACTGTACCTATAGCTGTGTACTTATTGCTTCCAAAACCGATCTTGGTTGCCCTCAGTATCTAAGGCAGGGTTATTGTACTGATCTCTTAACTACTAGAGACAATAAATATAGACATTAGGAGTGTAGGTTTGGAAGCCGGATAGCTCTACCAGATACTAACATTTGACCATATTCATCTGTATAATTATAGTACCTAAACTCTAGATTATTGTGAGAATTTAAATGAATTCATACATCTGAAGCGCTTGGAACAGCTTCTGGCACATAACCAGTGTCATATAAATATTAGCTATTTTTGTAATTATATCATTATTTTTACTAGAACAATATTTGGCTTTTACTAAGAACTCAATTAGTATTAGCTTATAAAGAAGGTATGAACAAGTCCACAGTTGAAGCCTGCTCACAAATCCTAGAGTTACAAGGTAGGAAACTCATTCTAGAAAGGGAATTTACTTTCCAGGATAATGCTAAGATGGAATCAGTACCTGGCAAGAGTTTCAAATGGCCCCTAGGAGCACCCCACATCAGGGATAGAACATCAGTGGAATTCGCTTTTATAATTGCATTAACATTAAGTGCTCTTTTCGTTATAATTTGTTGTGAACAAAGGAATGATGTAGCCTACACAGAAAGACCTGATTGTGATCAGTTTCCTTGGGAAATGATGACAGCCTGTGGTTGATGCTATGATGCATGTCCCGGATCCCTCTCAGGAATGAAGAATTCATTCCCCTTCATCCCCTTTCCTCACCCCAGGTGGAGTCCTCTTTAGAGATTGCCCTGGGTGAAGAAAGCTGCCCCAGTTCAAGGACACACCTCCTTCTAGGGATAGCCCACAGCCAATAACTGATCAGTGTGGGTGAATAAAGGCCAGAGTCTCTTGCTTTAGCACTGAATAGCTTCAAGAAGTTGTCCAAATTCCAGACTACCCTGTGGGTTGACTGAGAGCTTTGTAAGAAATATATTGCATATTAATTTCTTCCTCTGCTCAATCCCAAATTCTTTCCCTTTAATTCCAAGAGAACTCTTTCATAAACTTTTTAGACATCAATCTCCATCTCAGGGACTATTCCTGGGGATCTCAACCTACAAAATATACCTCAGGCCTCTTCCTGCTTCAGAACTTAACATTATTAGTGCACATAATCACCAATTTTCGACTTATCTGTTCTAATTGGCATTTGTCTGATCCCTATCGGGTTGAATATCTTTATTGCGTTTCTTTTTGAGAATCTGTTCTACAATTAAGGCTACTCACTTCATCATCTCCTTGAGGTTCACCCAACCCTCTCTGGAGTTCTGAGACACAATTAGCTTGGAGTGCAGATTTTCACATTTGGATGCAACAGCATCTACTGCTGGAGCTAAAACATCGTTGGTAATAATGCACTTTGCTTTTGAAGACTGTAGTCTGTAGAGAATGTCTTTCTGGGTCAGCTGGGTGGTTCCTGGAATTAAAACTGTCCCTAAAGGAGAAGAAAAGAAACAATATTTATAAAAAAAGTTTATCTTCCATCATGTTAGGATATTATAGATAGCACATGTGCATTCTGTATTTCTCTGAATGAGTTAAATTTACCAGTAGGGATATCTCTTTGTCTCATTATTCTGCTTTTGCTTTTCAAGGAGCATCAAAGCCTACAACTCTTGCCCTAACATAAAAAGGTATTAAAAGCTAGATAATCATCCTCTATTTGAAGATCTCTATAACGCTGAGCTTGAAGAGAGGTTTGATTGAAAAGTAATGTTATCTAACATTTATTGAATGCTTGAGTGCCTGATGCTATTCTAAGTAGCATTTGGTGGTGCAGGGATTGAACCTTGCAGCCTGACTCCAGAGACAGACACTTAACTACTTCAGTCCAGTACTTCTTACAATATATACAGTCGGTTCCCTTTTTTCCCAAGGAGAAGGTTTGAAGCATGCATTTTTTTCTGTGGGTCCACTCCTGCCTGCTTAGATTATACTGTAAGGTACAGTGTAATTGTCAAGAATGTTCTAGAGCCAGACACTCTTAAAGCATGGCCTTAGACAAGCTACTATACCTCTGCAAGCCTCAGCTTCTGCACCTGTAAAGTGGGGATTATAATTATACTACCTCTTCTATATGATTACTTAAGGATTTAAGAGTTAAATCATGTTAAGAGTTGAGAAGAGAACTTGATAAATATTAGCTGTTATTTTTTTCAAAAGATGAATGGGCTTTCAAGCTTTCAAGTGTGTGTATGCATGTGTGTGTATGTATCTGTTTAAATGTTATAGTATATCCCTGCAAGTTTGAGGCCCGCCTGAACGCCATAGTGAGACCCTGTCTCAAAAACATTCCTATTTTGAAGATTTGTGAAAAGTCTAGAAAATGGTAGAGAGTACATTAGGTTCCACTACAGACTTGCTGAATTTTCTTCGGCAAGTGGCTTAATGTTCTTTTCCCCAATCTGTGAAGCTTTGGCTTCCCTGTTTAGCAAATGAAGCTTACCCCTTCCTCGCCATAAGGCTTTTGTAAAGAGAAAATGAGCAAATGAGAAAATGTTTATTTTAAAGCCAGAATGACTCCATATATCATAGAAACTTCCTGAAGGTTTTCAACTGGGCTTTAGCTTTCTGTGATAAATATTACTCAAAGTAAGGGGCCAACTTATTAGGAATTAGTACTTATCAAATAATTATATACTGAGATTTTTGTTATAATGGGATTTGGCTTATCATACATAAAAGAGAATTTGAAAGTTAGGGTGTGATAGGACAGACCTAAGAACTTAGAAATAAAGGAATTAGATTGCATCCCAAGAGCTAACCTATAAACACAACATAAAATAGGTCAGAACAGAGCTACATAAAGTCTCTCAAAACAGACATAGTGATTCACAGTGTAGCAAGACTAATCTGTATCCCAATATATAGTATGTCAATAGAATTGGACTCAAAAGGGGGTACTGTATTGCTGCTTCAGAACATTAAAAAAAAAGAAATTTTCTGAGGGCAAATTATAATAGTACCCATCTAACCCTGTCTATGGAAAAACTGTGAGGCTCACGATAGATGAGGGGCTGCTCACCAATACCCATATTCATACTGGCCTATTTGCATTATCGCTAGCTTACACGTTATTTCCTGCCTTGGAGCCTTTGCACATATTTTTCCATTTGATTAGAATGGTCTCATCACCCACACCTTCTCCCACTGACTGGCTCATCTCCCAAGCCTCAGCTTAAATTAACTTTCTGTCTATACAGAAACACTCCTATACACTGACAGCTTGTGTGCTATTTCCTTTGTAGCTGTTGTCACACTTACCTTACTATGTATTCATTTAACTCATGACTCTATTTAACACCGGACCCTAAACCCATAGCTCCTGCAACATAGCAGGTGCCCCGTAAATATTTGTTACGTGAAGGGATCAATGGATATAGAAGGATGGGTGAACAGATTCGACTTTCAAAACCTGATGCAAAAAACCTGAATTGTAAGCTTTTTTTTTTTTTTTTTTTTTGGTACTGGGGATTGAACTCGGGACCTTGCGCTTGCAAAGCAGGCGGTGGAACCACTGAGCTAAATCCCCAGCCCTAAACTGAATTGGAAACATCACTTATCCTGAACCTGTATCCACCAAGCAATCTTTAAACTTTGTCTTCTCAGTTAGGTCTATTAACAAAGAGAGAGGGGGCTACTCATGCCAGAGTTTCTTGGCCCTTCGGGTAAATAAGTTGGTGATAATCGTGTTACCGTAGTCCATACACATGGTACCAAGAACCCTCGCCCTCTGCCGTGAGATTCAGAGCTTTACTCTCCACGCACTGACGTAAGTAAGGAGTTTTTGGCCAATGGGAGAATGACCAGATTGGATCCATTCAGCAAGGTCCTGTCATTCTTAAGTAAGACTGGCTCAGTGGCCTCAGACTTGAATATGCATCAGAATCCCCCGAGGGCTTGTTGACACATAGATGTTTGAGCTGCATGGAAGAGTTTTAGATTAGTTTAGTTTTAGACTGGAGATTTTATATTTCTGACAATTCCCACTGATGCTGCTGATCCAGAGACATGCTTTGAGAACCATAGCGTAGTATGATTCTTCTGCAGTGCTATATACTTTCCTTTAGAAAACACTTTAAAAGTCATTCTGCTGTTCTCTCATTTAGTAATATATTCATAAACATTTTAAGGTTCCTCAAAAAGCACCTTCCAGTCATAATTTCTTTAAACTGCAAAATATACCAACATGTGATAGGGAGTGTGTAGTGTGTACATACAATTTCCTTTTTTAAAAAAAAGTGGGACTAAGCATATATTACTCTTCTTAAGAATCAGAATTTAACAATATCTTTGGACCCCAAGTTCCCTGCCCCAGATACCTCTCCTACCATAATCATTTTCCCAGGTAACGTTTATCCAGAATGATGTGTTAACCATGACTTTGCCTTCTTTTTCTTGTTATCTACATATATAGCCCTACATAATATATGAACAACTGAAGTTCTAATCAATTAGGAATTCAATTTTCAGATTAGCTTTTTTTTTGAGACAGAATCTCTCTATATATAGTCCAGGCTGGCCTCAATCTCATGGCAGTCCTCCTGCCTCACTCAGCCTCCTGAGTACTGAGATTACAGGCATGTACTACCATGCCTGGCTTAAGAATGGTTACTTAATATGATGATTTATTATGTCAATAGAAATATTAATTCAACAAATACTTTACTGAATATTGACTATAGGCCAATCACTGGAGGTGCAGAGATGAATATATTATAGTCATGGCCTTTTAGGCATTTATGTAGTCTTATGGACATGACAGATTTATAAGCAAATGGTATACCCAAGCACTATAGTACCTGTTAAAATGGAAATGTAAACACATTGTTTTTGGGAGCTCAAAGAAAAGAGAACCTGGGTTAGGATATGAAAGTGTGTTTGTATGAGAAGGTAAAAACTTGAGCGTCTACTAAGAGTTGTCCATGTGGTTACGTGTGAGGAAAGGGCTTAGGAAACAATATGGAGAAGAGCCAGGAGAAGGGAATGACCAAAAACATTATAGGAAACTATTTGGCATGACTGGATCATGGAGTATAGGGGTGGAGAAATTAGAACAATAAGGGGAAAATAGGTATAGCTTTCCATGATGTACCTAAAATTCAGAGCGTATCTGGTAGGCAATGAAGAGGTATCCAATAATGTCAAACAAGCAAATGAGAAGATAAAATGTGTGTTCTAGGAAAAACACTGGTGAGGCAAGATGAGTTAGATTGGAGTAGAATGTAGGCGTACTTAAAACCAGAATTAGGAAGAGTGTTTATGAATGCAGGAAATGGTAAAGATGTGAAATAAAGCAACGGCAATGGGATTGGAGAAGGAACTCTGGACACATGAAGGATGTAAAATCTGTGAGATGTAGTAACTTGTTAAGAAGGACCAGGTGACTGCCTTAGGGCATCAGATGGGTAATAGTCATGCATGAGAGGGATAAAAGATGAAACAAGACTGTGATGGGTTCCTTAAATTTGTGGATTACTGAGTTTCAGATGACCATGAATCCTAAAGGAGGGAAAAGAAAGTAGTATGAGGCTGTTCAATTGTTGATTGTCATTCACTTAGTAAATCTATTTCATTATGAAAAACTCAGCTTCCCATGTAGGTCAAAAGGTACAGCATGTTTTCAACTCATTTCTAAGATACCTGAGCATACTACTTGTATACAGTTATTCTTCAAACAACGTAACCAAATAAATGTTTCATGAGCAGTCCCTTATCTAGCTTAGTTTAAATATTAGAGGATTGTAAACATTTACTAACCTGTTCGCAAGCAGGCCACATTTGCAAGCCACCACTCTGGGATCTTGGGCAGAATTACAATTACTGGATCTCCCCTTTTCAGGGAACAAGCTTCTGTAAGTATATTGGCAAATTTCCTGGACAACGATCCCAATTCTTCAAAACTCCACCTAACCTCTTCTCCGTTTCCATTTATCCACCAGAAGGCTGGATTGGAAGGTCTCTTTCCAACCTGAGGAGTCATGGATTTAGAGGTGTTGTACAGTAAAATTCTATTTCAAATGACTTAATGAAATATATTCTCGTCAAGAAAATTCATAAATCATTAGTTGGGATTTACATGGAGTTTATGTAATTAAAATTCTGGGGTCCTTATTTTCAGATTTGGGCAGTCATGACATTTCTTCTAGCTCCTGTCATTTAACATTTAGCCTGATAGTTTTTCCTTCCAGAAAGTTACAGTTCTTGCATCCCTTTATATTTCTTTTGATGTTGTGTCTATGCTTCATTTCCTACCATTTCTGACTCTTGGAGTCACTTTTCACCCTACCCTTTTTTGTTTAAAAAAAATCAACCTAAAAAGTACGTTTATGTAACACAAGCTTTCTCAGTCAACCATGGGACTATTGACATTGTGGGCCAGATAATTCCTTATTTTATCATTTATAGGATTTTAAGCAGCATTGTTGGTCTCTACCCATTAGATGCCAGTAGCAATTATCCCTTCTACCTCTTATCCCCTCCTGGCAACAAAATGTCTCGAGGTATTGCTAAAATGTCCCCATGGGACACAATTGCTCCTAGTTGAGAAATTGTAGTCTGATTAGCTTTTGTCCCATACCTTTTCCATTTTAGTCCACTGGTCCAGGACATCTTCAGCAAAGTTGAAATACTCTGGAATCTCCAGTTTGAAGTCCTTTTTCATGGACTCATAGCTGGAAAAATTCTGAGGAGTTGCTGTTCTGTAATCTTTATGCAAAGCCCTCACAAAACCAGGAATTGCTAGGCACCGAAAGCATCTGGCATGAAATATCTCCATGGCAACAAGAGCTATCATCAGTTTTATTGGCTGTTTTAGCCCTCAGGATTTCCATGGAAATTAACTCATCTAAAAGACAAACAAAAAAGACATGCATTTGCTTCTGTCCTGGAGATACCCATACCTCAAAGCAGTTGTATTATTATTATTATTAATCTTAATCATTATAGCACCACTTTCTGAATACTCCCTATATTCCAAACATTGTGCTCCATATTTTTTATGCATTTTATCATTAAATCCTGCGCAACTCTATAATGTGTGTACTACTATCATTAGTTTACAGATAGAGCAAACAATAAAGGTTTTGGTTGGATTTAAACCCAGGACTATCTGATCCTAGCTCATTCTCCTGACTACTGTACTATACACTATTATTTCTCAAATGCATTTCTAAAGATCTGTGACATCCAGTTAATCTCACTATTTGGAAAAAGTTTTCTTAGCTAATATCTTTCAAGTGCAGATTTCAAAAGTAGTACAGAAATATTAAGGAGGATGTTTCACAGTGGGTAATCTGCAGATGAAGAAACTTGAGAGTAGCCCAGTACCAATTAGGCATGAAAGCAAAGTTAAGGTTTATAAGCTGTCTAGTTTATAGGCTGCAGTTCCCATGCTCCTAATAGGAGTCCACACTACCTTCAAGTCCAAGCTTGGGGCTGCATTTGGTGGAGATGTAATAATAGGGCATTAACCTTTAGAGCTTTTATGGGGGAGGCCCCTTGGGGCCACCTAGTCCTCCTGCTTTGGTGGGAAATCATTTGATCACAATGTCATTTACTTGATTATGGTTGTTAAAAATACAATTCTAAACTGGGCATGATTGTGCGTACTTGCTATCCTAACTCTGAGAGGCTGAGGCAGGAGGATTGCAAGTTCAAACCCAGCCTGAGGAATTTAGCAACTTAGCAAGATCCTGTCTCAAAAAAATAAAAAAGGCTAGGGATGTAGCTTAGTGCAAAGGCCTTGGGTTCAATCCTCAGGGACATTAAACAGAAACAGTTCTAGGAGCTATGAGTATTTGAGGTTCTTCTCTTTATATTTTCAATACTTCTCCAAATTTCCTACAGTGAAACATGTATTCCTATCATAATCATTAAATCATAACTTTAAGTGCAACTCTGGCTGGGCAGTGTGTAGAACAACCTGGCTATGTGGAAGCACTTCTGCATTGGTAAACTGCCAATACAATGCATAGTAACAGATATCAGCTTATTCTTACCCTAAATGAACCTGGGGTTTGGCTTCCACAAGGATGTACTGTCTGCATTGGTCAGTACTTCTAAGCCTCCCATCTCTTTGTGTGAGAACCTGAGGAGTCAGTGATTTTTTTGTTTGTTTGTCTTGGTATGTAGTTAAGGGTGGCCTTGTACTTTGCCTGAACTCACTGCAATCCTCCTGCCTCAGTCTCCTGAGTGCTGGGATTACAGGTGTGAGCCACCACGTGAGTCGGTGATCTTGAGCCCTGTAAGATCATCTGGTTGAGTGTCCTCATTTTTCACCTGCAAAGAAAGCTGGAGCCCCAGAAAGAGGAAGCAACTGGCTTCAATCTGTCACATCAGAGTTAGTACTAGAACTCCTGATCTGTGGATCCCCATTGGAATATTTTTACTTCAGGTCAATAGAATTTCAATATAGTGATTCTCAATCCTGGTTAAATCACTAGGAAAAGCTTTTTTTAAAGTTCTTATGCCTAAGTCTTGGACTATTTAAATCAGTATCTATGGGAGTGGGCCCTGGGCCTCATTTTTTTGTTTGTTTTTTTGTTACTGGGGATTGAACTTGGGACCTTGCGCTTGTGAGGCAGGCGGCAGAACCACTCAGCTAAATCCCCAGCCTGGCCTCATATTTTTTAAAAACTTTCTTCAGAGGATTCTAATGCATAGTCAAGGTAGAGAATCACTCACCTAAAAGCTATGATCTGTGACCCAGCAGTATCAGTAACCCGTGGTAACTTGTTAGAAATACACAATCTCCGGCCCAGCCAAGACCTCATAAATGTTAACAAGATCCCCATGTGGTTACTGTGCAAGTTCAAGGGTGACAGCGTTGGTCTATAGCGTGTTGGCTGAATCCATTAGCTAAGCACAATCAAGGGATGGATCTGGTTTTTGCACTTATGAACTGTGGCTTTCTTTGAATTATTAACTTCTTTTAATTATTAACCTCAATTTTACATTGTACCAATGGAAAGATCAATAGAACCTCATGGGAGAGTTGTCATAAAAATTGAAAGTGATAATGCTTGCACAATACATATAATGATGCCTGACATACTGTTCTTACCAAACATGGAGTGGCACACTTGAATAGTAAAGGCCATGATGGTAAATCTTTCGGGCTTTGAGAGCCATATGCATTCTAGGTTGGAAGTACTCAACTCTGCCATCATTATTGACAAGACAGAAATAACTGAGCATATTGGTTCCCCAAAAGATCTTATTTAGGATACTTAAATCTTGAATTTCATGTAATTGTTATGTATCACAAATTACTGTTCCTTGTTTGTTTTCAACCACTTAACAATATGAAAACCATTCTTAATTTGTAGTCTACAAAAACAGAGGGCTGGATTTAGCCCATAGGCTATAGTTTGCTGATCATGCTAGAATGTGTATTCTATGAGGGAAAAGGGTATGTCTATTGCACTTATGCTGCTGTCTCTGAGAATTATAGTAGGTGCTTAAGAAATTTTTTTTTTTGGTACTGGGGATCGAACTCGGGTCCCTGCGCTTGCAAGGCAGGCTGAAGAACCACTGAGCTAAATCCCCGGCCCAAGAGATATTTTTTGAATGAATAAGTGACTTTTTCAGAAGGCAGAACTTTTGGCCACAGGTTATTTCCACAACTCAAGATTGCAGTAGATCTAATACCTCTACTGCCTTAAATAGTTATGTGGCTACCTGCACTGTCTACATGTGGCAGATTATTCATATTAGTCCCTCTAGCTGTGTTTCAAGTGCTTAATAGCTATATGTGCCTAGTGGCTACCGCATATTGGTCAGTGCCAATGTAAAACATTCCTACCATTGACAAAAATTATTTTGGATAGTGCTGGTTGATAATAGCTCAGAACTAGACTGATAGGAAACGTTAAAATGCAGAGAAATTAAGGGGGACTTTTCCCAAGGTAAACAGAAAGTTCAGGCTCTGAAGCAAGAAAGACTGCTCTTTAAAACAGAAATAAAATCACTCTGAGGCCTGGACTCCCTGGGGATTAAGTCTTCTAATATGTCATTCTGTTTGGCACTGGGGATGGCGTAAAGAGAACTACTGGTCCCTCCTGTTTCCTGGCGAGTTGTAATCTGCCCATTTGGCTGCAGTCTTAACAAAATTAGCATTGACGACCTTCCTCCTCTCCTTGACGTGACTCTGGACATTTCCAACAAGGGCATGGTGAGTGTGCTGGGAGGAAATTGGTCTGAAGAAGCGGGCTGTTGCTGGGTGGGGTGACGAACACCCAGAATCTCAGATTCTAGGAGGCTGAGGCAGGTGGCTCGAAAGATTGAGTCAAGCCTGGCCACATTACCGAGACGTTGTATCAAAAATAATATTAAAAATGAGCTGGGTTCAGTTCCCAGTAACTGGCCAAAAAAAAAACAAAACAAGATTAGCATTGAGTTTCCTTCACTGAAGGAAGTAGGTAACGCTAAGTTTTTGAATATAACTTCTTTTTCACCTTTTAATTTTTTGCATAACATCTTCATATGATTCAAAAAAGCATGAAAGGTATACAGTGAAAAATCAACACCCACCCCCAGTCTTGAAACTTCCTGGTTTCATCCAGTTCCCTCCACCTAGCAAACCAATATGATTCTTTCTATGCATCTTTTCAGGTTTTTAAAATGTGCTTTCAAACAAATATGATCATAGATTCTTATTTCCCCACCAATTCTGCAGAATGGGTAGCCTAGAATCCACACTACTCTGTCCACTAAGCACAGTTTTTAACAATGTGTTTTTGGAGGACTTTTCATGTTACTACATAGAGCTCTTCATTTTGTTTTTTAAAAGAGTTACACTGCCAGCTGCACTGGACTTTCTTTAATCCAGTCTCCTATCAATGATCACTTCAGTTGTCTGTAAAATTTTACAATTTAAATAAAAATTTAAAACCATTTTCTTCAAAAGAAATGTCATGCTGCTTTCTCTCATCACTTGGATATATAGACAAATAGCATTTAAAATAGTTAAGTTTAATCTTAAGTTTCTGATACTATTAAAGTAAGAGGTAGGAATTTGGACTGGGTGGAACAAATAACTTTGGGCATTGGACTTCATTCTTGTAGGTTAGCAGGATTCATTCATTTATTCAACAAATACTGAGTGCCTACCATGAAATGTTTCAAACCATAGAGGATACACAGAAGAATTAAAAAGACACATAAATGGGCCAGGGATTTAGCTCAGTGGTGTGGCTGCCTGCCCCGCAAGTGCAAGGACCCGAGTTCAACCCCTGGTACCAAAAATAAATTTTTTTAATAAAAATAAAATTTAAAAACACATAAATGAGGCAAAGAATAAATGTGATGTTACACAAAAAGCGAAGAGGGTCATAAGAGAAGCTATTTTCCAAGTTCTTTCTAGGAATGTGACGTTTTTGCTGAGATCTGACAAGTGGCTGCACTGCACTAGGTATTTCATATTGATTTATTACTATTTCCACACTGCACACAAAGAAACACACGACAAGCATGCACATATCTAAATCAGACTGTACATTTAATCATTCACCAGATATTTTTGAGCACTTACTTTGTGTATGAGATACTTAATGCTGAAAATACAGCTGTGAACAAGGGACAGCTAGTCTTACCCTGATAAAGTTTACAGACTACTAAACAATTATGTAAATATTGTCACTGAGTATAAACACACTGTACTTAGTTTTCTGACACTAAGTAGAATCAGAATTCAGTATGATTTCTTCCTTAAGCTTAACATAAAACTCCCCACCACACTCAAAATCCTTCAGATATACATTGAAAAGAAAATTGGCCATTCACCAATTTGACCATTCTGTTCTACCAAAAAGAAAATATCAGCGTCCTCTTCTGAAAACCATAATATTGTAGTCTCACCAACAAAGCTCAGTTCCTGACTTTTCAAGGATCTTAAATTCTTTATAGATGGAAGAACTAAGATAATTTTCCCAGGGTAAGTCCAGATTTTTATACTGAGCCACAGAAATATTGCTAAGGAAAATTCTTCTAAGAAAGACAGTAACCACTGACTGGTCAAATGGCCTTTTGAAAGTATTTAAGGTCATGTCTAAGATACGGGCTATATATCCATATAAACAGTGGTGTCAAGGGCCTTCAGCCTCCCCATATTTCCATAATACCCCTCCCAAGTAACAACTCAAAGAGGTCCAAGTAATAACAGTGCTTTGTAAATATGGCCTCAGAGCAAAATTACCTGCTGTTCTTCCCAAGACCCAATAAGACCCTACCTTAAGCCTCTCCCATACACAACTTTTGGAGCTGCTCTCTTGACCACCTGTTGGAGAAAAGTGGCTGCCCCCAGCTAAGTCTGCCCTTAGGTTTTGTATCTATCTGTTTCTCAAAGTCTCCTAGAAGTTGTTTGCAAACCTTCTGAATGATGCAGACTGCCACTGAGCAGTGCTGGTGCTAAGCAGACAGTTCAGTGAAAAACTCAGCCAGTACTCAGATACAACTAAATTTTCTTTTAAAAGATTTTGTCAAGTAAACAAATGCATATAATTTTTTAAAAAATCAAATAGCACAAAAAGGCTTAACATGAAAGCTCAGCTACTATGCTGACAGCCTTTTGTGTATGCATACTCCTCATCACTTACCAGGTAGTATATCACACAATAACAGAATCCTGAGACAAGCGTCTTCATTACCCATTTTACTTCTGTGAGATCATTTGTTAAAAATTTGTTTCCTTGTTTATTATCTTTGCTCAAAAAAAGAAAATGCCTTTATGAGGACAGCAAATCTTAAACACAAGAGAGAAGAGGTACTCACTAAAGTTACAGATTCCATCACAGCTGGATGTGATAGCAGACCCGTTTCGTAGAAGAGCAGCACTAAATCTTGATTTCTCACCTCTGCTTTAGACTTGGAAGTAGCCAGAAGACAGAGAAGTAGTTCGACGACAATCAGAAGCAGCAAGACTGCCCCAGAGTGCCTTTCTTTGATTGGTGGAGGCTTTCCGGAGGGAGGAGTAGGAGGTCTGGGCTAAACACTGAATATTTACACAATCCTTGGCAGACAGTCCTTCTTACAGGTAATGATTTACACACATAGCAAGCTTTTAGCATGCTGGAAAAGCAGTTTTGTTTTTACAGGAAGGAACGTGTCATGTCCAAGGAGTTGCTGGAAAGGTTAATCTGGTGAAGGGATAAAGGAATTATTCAGGAGGAGGAAAGAACAAGCACAATAAGAAAAAGGGGTGTTTTGAAATAGAAAAACAACAAAAACAAGTTGAAAGGTGGGTAAGGTTGAGCTAGATTTCATCCAGTCAGTTGCCTAGAACTGGTCGGGACTAAACAAACACTATCAGGCCACTCTTGCCAAATCCTTCACTGCTGCTTAGCTCACTGAAGTCCTTACCAAAACTACAAGGAGCTTGGCACTGGGTCCTCTCTGACCTATAGCCCATTCCTCCTCATCTTCGTTCTGTTGCAGCCACACTGCCTCTTGCTTTTTCTCAAATATACTATGAACTTTTTATTTATTTATTTTTTGTTTTGTTTTGTTTTTTGGTACCAGAGGTCGAACTCAGGACCTTGCATTTGTGAGGCAGGTGTCGGCACCACTGAGCCAAATCCCCTCTCAAATATACTATGGATGTTCCAGCTTTAGGCTCTCAGCTTCCACTGCCTATGACTCTTCCCTCAGATATTGTTATGGTTTATATCTGGATGTCCCCCTAAAGCCTCATGCACTTATAGTAGGTGGTACTTTTGGGAGGTGATTGGATCATGCCAGTGTGACACTCATCAGTGGAGTAGTCTACTGAGGAATTTAGCTAAATGTGACTTGGAAAGTGAAACTTGATTGGAGGAGGTGGGTCACCGGGGGTGTGGCCTGGAAGGGTATATCTCCCTTCTCTTCCCTTGATATCTCTCTCTCTCTCTCTCTCTCTCTCTCTCTCTCTCTCTCTCTCTCTCTCTCTCTCTCTCTTTCTCTATCTCTGTTCTTGCCACCATGCCATGACCTCTTTTTCCTCTGCCACACCACCCCTCTGCCATGCTGTCCTGCCTTGGAGCCAGCAAACTCTGGACTGAAACTTTTATACACTGTGAGTCAAAATAAATCTTTCCCTCTTACAGTTGTGGGTGTTGGGTATTGTGTCTCAGTAAGAAGAAAATAACTAAGACAGTTATCTTGGTCAAATCCTTCATTTCATTTCATGAGGTATCCTATCAAAGAGGTCTTTGTTACCACCTTTTTCTAACATAGCACTTTTTTTTCCTCTTTAACTTGTTTTAATATTTTATACCACCACTTTGACTGTAAAAACCTTATTTGCTGGTGTATCACTATTGCCTGTGTTGGCAAATTTTAAGCATTCCATACATATTTGATAGTCATATAAAATGATTCTTTCAATTACATGAGCTACAAACCCAATTCAATTTCTTATAAACAAAGAGAAATTTATAGGCCACTTTTTTGTTTCAAGAGGGTTTTTTTTTTGTTTTAATCATTTAGTCCTTGGGTTTTTCTGTGTAGATAATCAGATTATCTAACAGTAGAGTTTTACTTCTTCCTTTCAAATCTGCATGCATTTTATTGCCTATTGAACTAGTTACCACCAGCACTATGTTGACTAAGAGTGGTGAGAACAGAGATCATGGCCTTGCTCCTGATATTAGAGGGAAAGCATTCAGACTTTCAGTTAGATCCAGTGTTAGCTGCAGGGTGTTTGTTTTAATAGATGCTCTTTATCAAGCTGAGCAAGCTTTTGTCTTTTCCAATTTTTTTCTGAAACTTCACCATGTACAGGTCTTGAAGTTTGACAAATTTTTCTGCATCAATCAATATAACCATGTGACTTTTCTTCATTAGCTGTTAATAAGGCAGATAATATTAATTGATTTTCTAGTAGTGAGCCAGCTTTGCTTCCCTAGAATAAACTCCACTTGGTGCTCTTAAATAATTCTTGTTATATATTGCTGAATTCTATTATTTATCTCTTTCCAAATTTGAAAAATTTTCAACCATTATTTCTTGGAATTGTTTTCCAGCCCCTCTTTTAGATCTTTTGTGATAGTCTCGCAGTTTAGTTTGTTTCCATCTTATTTTCTTCCTGTTGTTCAGATTGAGAAAATTCTATTGTTCTCTTTCAGTTCACTGATTTTTTAATTCTATTCCTTCCATTCTGATGTTGAGCCCATTAATAAAGATAGGGCAAGAAATAGCTTTTCTGGCCTGGGGATTTAGCTCAGTGGTTCCAGCGCCTGCCTCACAAGTGCAAGGTCCCAAGTTTGATCCCCAGTACCAAAAAAAAGAAAGAAATAGCTTTTCTTACTCTTTCACAGCACACTCAGCACATGTGGAGTATTTTCTCCTGCACCAAGCAGTTCTCTAGCAGACACCGAGTGTCTTATACTTCAATTCAGTTCTACACTATCTACCTGGAGATAGTATCAGACTCCACAGGATAAAAGCTCAGATCCACAAACTGCCCCCCACTTCAGATGCCAATTGTAAATCTCAGTTGTGACCTATATTTCTGACCAACTAGCTATAAATTTGGGTTCCTATGACACCCTTCTTGTGTTTGATTAATTTGTTAGAATAGCTCACAGAATAAAGGGAGACACTTTACTTACATTTACTCATTTATTAACAGGATATCTCAAAAGAACAGATGAGTAAACAGATGACAAGATGCAGAGAGGGAGGTTAGAGAAGAAGTATCACGCTTCCATACCTCTTCAGTGCTCCATCCTTCCAGAACTTCCTCATGTACAGCTATCTGGAAATTTCCCCAAACCTATCTCTGTAATTTTTACGAAGGCTTCATTACATAGCCATACTTGATTAAATCACTGGCCATTGGTGATCAACTCAACCTTCTTCTTTTCTAAGAGGAAGAAACAGGGTGTAGGGTTGAAGGGGTGGGACTGAAAATTCCAACCTCTAGTTACATGGATGGTTTCTGTAGCTCCCATCCTGAGGCTGTCTAGTAGCCCCTAATCACCAGCCATCTCATTAACATAGAAAAATGCACTTATCACTTATGAGAATCCAAAGATTTTAGAGGCTGGGTGCCAGGAAATAGGAATGAAAACTAAATATGTATTTCACAATATCACACACATCTACTGAGATTTTTATTTCTTTTATTGAATTTTTAGTTCTTAAATTTCTATTTGGCTTATCTTGATATCTTCTATTATTTGCTGAGACTTTGTATTTCTTTTTTAAATTAAGTTTATTGGTACATTTTAGGTGTATATTATGATCACATTCATCGTTGGGAATTTGTACCTGTACATGATATATCTTAGTTCTTGTTTTCTCATTTCCCTTTCCTCCCTTCTACTCCTTCACCCCTCTTGATTTGCAAAAGCTTTGTTTCCTTTTTTCCTTCTTTTTTCATATTTTTTCTTTCCCTTCTTTGCTCCCTCCCCACTTGCCCTTCCCCTTTGAACCTTTTCTCCCTATTTCACATTATCTAGTGTACATTTTGGTCCTCATTTATACTTTCAGTTTCTCACACCAGAGAGACAGTTCAGTACTTACATATGTGTGTTCTATTTGTTTCACTTAAGAGTATGGTCTCAATGTGCATCCATTTAGCTATAAATGGCTCTAGTTTATCATTCTTTATGGCTGCGTAGTACTCCATTTTATTTAAGAACACATCTTCTTTATCCATTCACCAGTTAATGGGCATTTGGGTTGTTTCCAATATTTAGCTATTACAAACTGTGCCACTATAAACAGGGGTGTGCATATATTTCTGTGGTATGATGCTTTTAATTCTTTTGGGAAGATACCCAGCAGGGGAATAGCTGGGTCAAATAGGACTTCTAATCCTAGTTTTTGGAGGAATCTCCATACTGATTTCCACAGTGGTTGCACCAGTTGAGACTTTGCATGACTTTGCTGAGGCTGTGTTTCTTTCATTTGTTTCAAATGTATTTGTAATTGTTTTTGAAGCCTTTCTATAAAGTCTTGTTAAAATTTTTGTCAGGTAATCTAACGTCTTTGTCATCTTGGTGTTGGGTTCTATTGACTGTTTCTTTGCTCAGTTTATCTTCATGGTTCTTGGTATGAGGAATAATTTTCAACTGAACTGTAGACCTTTTCCTATTACTTAATAGATATTATGTAAACCTTATGTTTTAGACTGGCTTTCTTGGCACTACTCTAACAAGGAGGAAGGTTAGAACATCACCGCCTTATTATTGGGTAAACATATAAGTCTAGGTTCTCCTTTCAGCTTTTAGTAACACTTAATTTGGGGAAGGAGTTGCTCCCTATTACTGCTTGGTGGGAATGAGTATTCCAGTTCCCCATGTGGTCTCTACTGACACTGGCCTTTTCCTTACTTGGCCTCTTGTATACCATCCAAGCAGAAGGTATTACAGTGCCTCAAGTTGTAGAGTAGAAGTCTAGGTTAATGAGAGTAATGAGTGTAGAAGTCTAGGCTTCACAATCGGTTAGGATAGTTGAAGCCATATTTTTTTCTGTATGGCTTGGTTGGAATAAATTAGTTTTTGTTTAATAATTGTCTATCTGCTAAGCTGCTCCTTTACTGGTCCTTGGTTAAAGAGAGCAACCTTTTAGGGGAGGAGCTATTTTGTTTGCACCCATTAGTGTTTCTAGATTGCTAGATTTTTCAACCCAAGTCTAGGATATTTAAGCCCCAAAGAAGACCTGAAGAACTTGCATTTGTGTTGTTCCTTAGATCCCAGGGTCCATAACCAGCCTACCTTCTTTCTCTACCTTTCAGAGTCTTCTTACATTTCTTTTATATAAAATGTCCAGAAATTTTAGTTGTACTTAGCAGGAAAGGTAGGGAAATGTATGTATATTCCATCTTCCCAGAAGAAGTACTCTCATCTCACTTTCTGAGATTAGAATAAAATTTATAACAAAAAAATAAGAACACTGCTGAAAAAAATCAAAGGCAAACCATGACATTCCAAAAGCATAAATAAGAAACACAAAATAAATTAACAAATATAAAC